AATATATATATATATATATTGCTAAGAGGATTGAGGTACAGAAAATTAATCAATTGTAACTGACCTTAGGCAATATACCTCAACTCAATGACCCTCAGCTTCCCAATTATGTAATAGTGGTGGGGAAGTGGCATGGCCTGGCTCTGTACATGGGGTGGATGCTCCCGCGGCAGTGTCACCGTGGAAGGTTTCTTTGGCATCTGTGTTTCCTGTCTGCAGGAGCCCCATGAGTTACCTGCGCCCCACGGCCACCCTGGGGCAGCTTGTGTTGGCTTCTGCCACAGTCTTACAGGCTATGCAAGTTTGACCACTTTATTCATGAGCTTCTCGGAGCAAGTTTTTGCACCTGAGGTTTGGTCTGAATCCAGGTTCATACTCTGATTTCCTGCCGTGACTATTCCCTTCCACTGCCCGCTGGGTGGCTTGCTCCCATGTTGCACCCCGAGGCAGGTGCATGGATCTTTTTCTGTCTTCTGTCTTCTGTGCCTGGAAGAGACAGCCTCTTCTCAGTTCTCAGCCTTGCGCAGTGCTCTCACTCTCAGCTCTCTGCTGTCCCAGGCCTCCACCTTGACCTCTGTCCCCACGTGAGTGTGAAACTCCAGTCCTAGAGATCAGCTTCCCCGGGACTGCTGGACGGACTTCAACCCCCTCACTGTTGTGGCTTTGCTTTCCTTCTCTATTTTTAGCATCATGAAGATTCTGTCTTGCTTTTGAGCTCAACTATCTATCTATCTATCTATAATACATATATATTACATACAATTTGGCCCTAGCCTGTTTGACTCAATGGATAGAGTGTTAGCCTGCGGACTGAAGAGTCCCAGGTTCAATTCTGGTCAGTGGCATATGCTCGGGTTGCTGGCTCGATCCCCACTGGAGGGCATGCAGGAGGCAGCCAATCAATGTTTCTCTCTCATCATTGATGTTTCTATCTCTCTACCCCTCTCCCTTCCTCTCTGAAATCCATAAAAATATATTCTTTAAAAAAATGCAAAAATTAAAAAAATAAGTAAAAATATATCTTTGTTGAGAGGGATAGAAATATCAACGATGAGAGAGAATCATTGAGCGGTTGCCTCCTGCACGCCCTCCACTGGGGATGGAGCCCGCCACCCAGGCATGTGCCCTGATGGGGAATTGAACCTCAACTTCCAGGTTCATAGGTCCACTCAGCCACACCGTCCGGGCAGAGCTCAACTATCTTTAAAAAAAGAAAGCACGATTTCTTATATGTTGTGTAGTGTATGTTTGGAGTGTGGGTGGTGGCACATGACCCTCCAGCATTTCTTTGGGCTTCTGTCTTGAACACAGTCCCCAGGGCAAAAAGTAAAAAATAAAAAAAATACAAATCCTAGATCGAGCTTAGCAGTCATACCCTCACCGTCCCCTTCGGCTAAAACAAGCTCTCCGGCAGGGCCATAATCCTTGCCGTTCCCTATTACCCATCACCCGGGCTGCTCCATTCCTGAGGTTCCCTGCCTGTGCCTGACGCGTTTGGGCACGTGACTCCTGGTGAAAGCGTCCTGCCTTCTGGAGAGGGAATCCGCGCCCCAGTCTTCTCTGTGTCCCGGGTACCCAGCCAGGGGATGGCAAAGACCAGAAGCTCAGGAAACGAGGGAGGGAGGCGTGGATGAAGGCCTGTGCAGAGTCCTGAGGCTCGGCGTGCAGGCAGCTGAGGAACAGAGGCGTGGCCGCTCCAGCCCGGGGCGCTGGGATCAGACTTTGAGTTCAAAGCCCCTTTCTGGACTGTGTGGCTCAAGCTCTTTGTGCTGCAGCGTCCTGGTCTGTCAAATAGGGGTGATCACCTCAGTGCGTCTCTGTAGAGCACACGACAGCGGCACAGTCAGCACGCAAACTGTAACCGTTATTTACTTACTTACTGATTTATCTGCTAGTGGCCTGGCGCACGGAGTCGTGCACATGGAAAGGAAATAAATTAGAAGATGGCCAGGGGGGCTGGACTGGGTGAGACGGGCCAGATACACCCTGGAGCCAACGTCCTGTGGTCCCTCCCCAAGCCGGCTGGCTGCCTTGGCTCGAAGGGCATCTGTGGAGTGAACGGGGGCCCTCTGGCAGGTGGGGTCCCTCGGCCTGGCCTGGGGGGATTGGGCCGAAACCGGCTCTCTGACATCTCTTGAGAGGTCCCAGAGTGCGAGATGGCACTCTGCAAAGTTGCTGTCGCTTGGCAGCTCCTGCATCGAGCATCTGCCCTCTGGTGGCCAGTGCGTGTCATACCTACTAGACAGTCAGATGGTCGCTTAGCCTTTATATTATATATAGATAGACTAGAGGCCTGGGGCACAAAATTCATACGTGGGTATGGTACCTAGGCTTGGCCTGTGATCAGGGCCATCTTCCCCAGTATTCACAGAAATGTAAGTAGCATGCAGTCTTTTAGAAACATTGGCATCCATTACCTTGACTTAAATGCATAGAGGGAACCGTACTAGTTTTCATGGTGGAGAACTTGACGGAACAGGGAAGGGTTGGTCTTTAACTTTGGAAAGAAAAAGAGCCGGCCCGGTGCACAAATTCGTGCATGGGTGGGGTCCCTCTGGGTGGCCTGCAGGGATTGGGCCGAAACCCTCAGTCCAGCGCTGCCTGTAGCTCCTACCTGCTGCCCCTGCTCATCCCGGCCCCACTGTGCCTGCCACAGGCTCGGACCCAATCAGTCCTGATTGGGAGAGGCTTGCACTGCTGCAGCAGCACTTGCCAGCCACGAGCCCTGGGTCTGGTGCCCTCCCAAGGGGAGTGGCCTGTGGGATCAGGCTGAAACTGGCTCTCCGACATCCCCCGAGGGGTCCTGGATTGTGACAGGGCACAGGCCAGGCTGAGGGACTCCACCGTTGCATGAGATCGGGCTGGGGAGGGACTGCAGGAGGGCTCCAGCCCATCTCACTCAGCCCTGATTGGTTGGACCCCAGCAGCAAGCTAACCAACCAGTCAGAGCATCTGTCCCCTAGTGGTCAGTGCACATCATAGTGACTGGTCGACCAGTTGACTGCCCCCCTGGTGGTCAGTGCATGTCATAGCGAGCAGTTGAGCAGCCTTAGCATATCATTAGCATATTACGCTTTGATTGGTTGTTCAGTTGTTCTGCAGTTCGGTCTATTTGCATATTACCCTTTTATTATATAGGACTAGAGGCCCGATGCACAAAAATTCGTGCACTCTGGGGGGTCCCTCAGCCCAGCCTGCACCCTCTTGCAGTCTGGGACCCCTCGGGGGGTGGCTGACTGACGGTTTAGGCCCACTTCCTGGGGGGATTTGGCCTAAGCTGGCAGTCAGACATCCCTCTGGCAGCCCAGGAACCCTCAGGGGATGTTTGATTAACGGCTTAGGCCTGCGGGGAGCAGGCCTAAGCCGTTAGGGGGACATCCTTAGCGCTGCTGAGTGGCGCTCCCCTTGTGGAAGTGCACTGACCACCAGGGGGCAGCTCCTGGTTGAGCATCTGCCCCCTGGTGGTCAGTGCGCATCATAGTGACCAGTTGTTCCCAGCCATTTGGCCATTAAGGTCAATTATGCATATTACCCTTTTATTATATAGAATAGGAAGGGAGAGAGATTGAGAGAGAGAAACATCAATTTATTGTTCAACTTATTTAAGCATTCATTGTTTGATTCTTTTATGTGCCCTGACCAGGAACTCCACCCACAGCCTTGGCATATTGGGACGATGCGCTAACCCGGCCCAGGGCTTAACCATTATTATTATTTGGCATTTATTAAGGGCCTACTGTTTGCCAGGAGCCAGAGGGCACGCAGACCATTCAGATTGGGGCTTCTTTCTAGGCAGGTCTCTACCCAGGAGGAAGCCATACCCAGAGCTTCTCCACTTCCCATGCTAAGTAAGA